TATTCATTTTAATAAATCTGCCGAGATGGGGAATGTTAAAGCTATGTTTAATGTTGGATACTGTTATCAAAATGGAATTGGTGTTGAAAAAGATAAACATAAAGCATTCATTTATTTTCAAAAGTCTGCTGAAATGGGTAATGCTATTGGAATTTATAATGTTGGACGTTGTTACGAAAAAGGAATTGGTGTTGAAAAAAATATGAATGAAGCATTCACTCATTTTCAAAAATCCGCCCATATGGGTAGTATTGATGGAATACTTGCGCTTGATTATTGTTTTCTAAATGGTTTTGGTGCCGAAATGGATGAACATAAGGCCTATATTCATCATCAAAAATATGCTGAATCAAAAAACACTAATGGTTCGCATCATGAAGAAATTGGTGTTGAAAAAGATGAATACATTCATCGTCTAAAATCTGCAGAGATTGGAATTTCTAGTGAAATTCATAATCCAATGGGAGTTGAAAAAGATGAACATAAGGTGCCCGTAGTTGAAAAAGAAAAACTTAAGGTACCCGTAGTTGAAAAAGATGAACATAAGGTGCTTGTGGTTGAAAAAGACGAACATAAGGTGCTTGTAGTTGAAAAAGACGAATATAAGACGTCCATAGTTGGAAAAGATGAACATACGGCGTCTATAGTTGGAAATTTTGAAAAAGATGAGATAGCTGAAAAAGATGTACATAAGGCGTCCATAGTGATATCTGAAAAAGATGAACATAATCTGTCCATAGCGGTAGCTGAAAAAGATGAACATAATCCGTCCATAGCGGTAGCTGAAAAAGATGAACATAATCCGTCCATAGCGGTAGCTGAAAAAGATGAACATAATCCGTCCATAGCGGTAGCTGAAAGAGATGAACATAATCCGTCCATAGCGGTAGCTGAAAGAGATGAACATAATCCGTCCCTAGTAATAGCTGAAAAAGATGAACATAATCTGTCCATAGCGATAACTGAAAAAGATGCGATAACCGAAAAAGATGAATATAGTCCGTCCATAGTTGAAAAAGATGAACATAAAACATTCATTTATCATCAACAATCTGCCGCTAATGGAATGTATAATGTCGGGTGTTGTTATCAAAATGGTATTGGAGTTGAGAAAGATGAAAATAAAGCATTTATTTATTATAAAAAATCTGCCAAGATGGGTAGTTCTGATGGAATGTTTGCACTTGGTAACTGTTATCGAGATGGAATTATAGTTAAAAAAGATAAACATAAGGCATTCATTCATTATCAAAACTCTTCTGATATGGGGAATGCTAATGGAATGTATAGTGTTGGTTATTGTTATCAAAATGGAATTGGAATTAAAAAAGATATATATAAAGCATTTATCTATTATAATAAAGCCGCAAAAATGGAGAATGTCAAGGCTATATTTAGTGTTGGATATTTTTATCGAAATGGAATTGCTGTTGAAAAAGATGAAAATAAAGCGTTCATTTATTATCAAAAATCTGCAGAGATGAATAATTCTAATGGAATGCTTGCACTTGGAAATTGTTATCGAGATGGAATCGGAATTGAAAAAGATGAATGCAAGGCATTCATTTATTATCAAAAATCTTCCGAGATGGGGAATGTTGGCGGAATTTATAATGTTGGATGTTGTTATTTTTATGGAATTGGAGTTGAAAAAGATGAACATAAAGCATTCATTTATTTTAATAAATCTGCAGTGATGGGAAATGTTAAAGCGATATTTAGTATTGCATATTGTTATCGAAATGGAATTGGTGTTGAAAAGGATGAACATAAGGCATTCATTCATTATTGTAAATCTGCTGAGATGAGACACGATAGTGGAATGTATAATGTTGGATGTTGTTATTTTTATGGATTTGGAGTCGAGAAAGATGAACGTAAAGCATTCATTTATTATCTAAAGTCTGCTGAAATGGGAAACGCTAGTGGAATGTATAATGTTGGATATTGTTACCAAAATGGAATTGGAGTAGAAAAGGATGAACGTAAAGCATTTATTTATTATTATAATTCTGCTAATATGGGGAATGCTAGTGGAATGTATAATGTTGGGTATTTCTATCAAAATGGAATTGGAATAGAAAAAAATGAGCGTAAGGCATTTATTCATTATCAACAATCTGCCGAAATGGGGAATGCTAATGGATCGTATAATACTGGACATTGTTATCTTTATGAAATCGGGGTTGAAAAGGACGAACGTAAGGCATTTATTTATTATTATAATTCTGCCAGGATGGAGAACGCTAGTGGAATATATAATGTTGGGTATTGTTATCAATATGGAATTGGAGTTGAAAAGGACGAACATAAGGCGTTTGTCTATTATCAAAAATCTGCAGAAATGGGTAACATTAATGGAATATTTGCGCTTGGCAACTGTTATCATAAGGGAATTGGTATTAAAAAAGATGAGCATAAGGCATTCGTTTATTATCAAAAATCTTCTGATATGGGGAACATTTGCGGTTTATATAATGTTGGATATTGTTATCGATATGGAATTGGTGTTGAAAAAGATGATCACAAGGCATTTATTTATTTTAATAGATCTGCCGAGATGGGGAATTCTAAAGCAATGTTTAGTGTTGGATATTGTTATCAAAATGGAATTGGTGTTGAAAAGGATGAACGTAAGGCGTTCATTAATTATCAAAAATCTGCCGATATTGGGGATGTAAATGGAATGTATAACGTTGGATACTACTATCTTCATGGAATCGGAGTCGAAAAAAATGAATATAAAGCGTTTATTCATTATCGGGAATCTGCTAAGATGGGTAATGTTAATGGGATGAATAATGTTGGATATTGTTATCATGATGGAATTGGAGTTGAAAAAGATGAACATAAAGCGTTCATTTATTATCAAAAATCGGCTGAGATGGATAGTATTGATGGAATATTCGCACTTGGAAACTGTTATCGAGATGGAATTGGAATTGAACAGAATGAGCATATGGCATTCATATATTATCAAAAGTCTGCTGATATGGGTGACATTAGTGGAACATATAATGTTGGAAGCTGTTATCTTCATGGAGTTGGAGTCCGAAAAGATAAACATAAAGCTTTTATTTATTATCAAAAATCAGTTGAGATGGGAAAGATTAGTAAAACTGGTAATTGTATCCAGATACTTCAGATACTTAAACGCATAGTAAATATACAGCGTCTGGATTTACAATCTGATTGTTAATTTTTACAACAAAAACTCGAAATAACAAGCGTGTGCACTATTTTGAATTACCACCAAAGTTAAGCTTAATTTTGGCCAAATTAAAAATTATACACCCTCGGAAATTATTTCGAGTTTTTTTTACAATATTTTTTAATAATTTTTATAACACATAAGGTAGAGTAGGGTATTCTGGCGCACCTAAGCTGCGTTTGCCAATTAAATTTTTACAAATCAATATTTATTTTTAAAATTCATTTAAACTAACTAATTATACACTTGGCTATTC